CCTCTTGGTCCGTAACTGTTTTATCCCTTTTCCCCTAATGGATTGATTTTTGTAATATGATGTGTTAAGGCCGGAGAAAGCTTGTCCTAATTTGTACATAAAGAAAATATTCAAACTGGAATGCAGTTCCCTAGGTTGGGCTTGGTAGAGTTATTAGTAGAATTCTGGGGTTGCCCGATTTGAAGCCAGCTTGTTTCAGCTATGGTTGCTTAGTCCAAGCTAAGGCTGGATTGGTGTTGCTTTAGATTGTTTAAGTTCTGATTAAATAATAATGTCATTATGTTTGCTATGTTTGAGGAAAACATTGAAAACAATAGTAGATCATACACTGCTTCATACTCAAGACATCCTAAATTAACTGCTGTGGAGGAATATTTGAAGGGGCTTGCAGATTCTTCGGTAAATATATCGAGGAGTGACGTGTTTAATTTTTATGATCAATATATAGTCAAATTGCTACCATATATTCGAACCTTTTTAAAACAAGTTAGCAGTATGTTCGAGCTCTACATATACACGATGGGTTCTCGACACTACGCAGAGCGGGTGTCTATTTTGTTAGATCCTAAAGACGAATACTTCAAAAAATCCAGAATAATTTCACGTGATGATTTAAAACAAAAACGAATAAAGAGTAAAGACTCTGGATTTGGTGTTGGGAGAAGAGCGAGGAGTAATTATTCTTGATGATAACGAAAGTGTGTGGAATGAGCATAACAAGAACTTGATTGTAATGGGAGAATATCATTATTTTAGAGATTGAACGTTTAAATACAACTCTTTGCCGGAGAAGAGGAGTGATGAGACTGAAACTAACCAGGTACTTGCAAACGTTCTCGGAGTTCTAATAAAAATCCATGGATTATTCTTTAAAGATCCAACAAATCTTGGTTGTCAAGAAGTTAGAACATTGTTAAGAAAAATTCGTACGCAGATTCTGTGGGGGTGTACTTTATTCTTTAAGGATGTTGAGAATGATGTAGCCGTAGTTCGGAGCAGAGCGGAGGCGATGGGAGCTACATGCAAAACCCTAATGGACTCTACGGTTACACATTTGGTAGCATCAAACGAAACGATGGAGGATTTTCGATGGGCAGAACAAGTAGACAGCAGATACTTGGTCCTTCCACGGTGGATCAATGCTGTGTATTATTTATGGCACAAACAACCTGAAGAGATTTATTTTTCCCTTTAGAATGTTTTGCAGTTGAACCTTTTTTTTCCCCTTTTAATCTGTAATGAAGTTCTCGTGTAGATGAAAATTGAACTGAATTACATAATGACAAATTTATGCAATCACACAAGTAAATGATTAAGTTTAAATGTTGAAATTAACACAACCAGAACCATCTCACTCTGTTTTGCAAACCTTAAGAACAATATTATAATGGTTTTACAGTACCAATTACTAATAAACTTGAACGGATAAACACACTAAACTAGATTTAGAAACTCATTCTACTAAAAAAGCCGCCATCCACCACTAAGTCGTGGCCAGTCACGAACTCAGAATCTTCAGATGCAAGAAACAACACCACATCTCCAACATGTTTCCCTTTGAGCACAATCCCTTTTAGGCTTGTATACGCCTCATAAAACTTCTCAATTTTTTCAACTTCCATGCCATGTGCACTGCAAACACCCGGTGTCGCCACCGCATATGGTGAGACGCTGTTCACCCTAATCCCATATGCTCCAAGTTGCGCGCTTGCTGTTCTAACCAACACTATTACAGCATGCTTTGACGTGCAGTAAGCAGTGCTTCTTGAGGAACCACGACTAGCCGCAACACTAGCCGTGCACACAATGCTCCCCCTCACGCCCCTCTCAACCATAGCACGCCCCGCATATTTGACGCATGCAGCCATGCCACGGAGTCGACACGGACGTTCACGGCAAATAGACGGTCAAATCCTGATAAATCAATATCAAGGACTGTCTGATCAGAATCGGATCCGATGAAAATTCCAGCATTGCTAAACATGATGTCTAAGCGATCATAAGTTTGGAGGGTTGAGTCAACTAATGTTTTGACTTGATCTTCATTTGAAACATCGCAATGAATGTACTTGCACTTGTCTGTGCCAATTGACGTGGCTACTTGTTGGCCTAAATCATCTTGGCTATCGGCGATCACGATCGCACGAGCACCGTGGCGGGCGAAAACACGAGCTGTGGCCTCTCCGATACCACTAGCACCACCTGTGATGGTGGCTGCTTTGCCTTCCAATTTCTTTGTTTGCGGCAGAGTTTCTGTCATCCTTTGTTCTTTTGGTAACGGATTGCAGTGGTAATTAAAGTTGAAATTGTATCAAATAACGAGGAAACAGGCTCAAATTTTTCTACAGGAAATGGCCACTGGAGCATAATCCAAGCGTTGCTAATATACTGTAATGGATGGAATCTTTACTCTTTAAACTTAGAAAGTGAAATTTTTGTCTCAACCTTGTAGTTAAACCTGAGCTTATTTCATCTCCACATCACCACCTTATAGTTAAAACTAAGCTTATTTCATGTCCACATGACCATACAATTGGATGAAGCTTGACCAAACATAAAATTCAGAAATGACAAAATCTTTTTCTGAATTATTATTTAACATTTTGATCTTTTGCATTCAAAATATCTTCAATGCAAAAGATCAAAACAACCTGCCCTTTTGGTATATATTTACATGCATTAAAAATATCTTCAACAGTGCCCAGTTCCACTTTATTTGTAAAAAGCTCTTCATGATCAACTTTAAATAAAAAATAAAAAATTCAGCCAACCAATTGAGATATTCCTTTTGCATTATTTTAAAAGAAAATGTAACTTTATGACATAAATTAATTTGGGTGTGTTTATTTTATTATTTCGAGTAGTATTTTTATAATATTATTGTTAAGTTAAGTTGAGTTGGGTTATTATTAAAGAATTTGCAAATTAAGAAAAAAAACCCTAAATTTATTAATTTAGCTAAACACCCCCAATAATAAAAAGTTTATAACTTGATAAAAACATCTCTACCAACCCACAGTTGCTAGATTTCGGTCACCACCGTCGAAATCTGATGTCATTGCGCACGACCAGCCAGATCCGATTGGTTGTGCTCCACTATGGCCTTTTCTAGCTAGATCCACCACAAATCTGGTTGTTGACAGCTAGATGTGGCCAGATGTGGATGTCAACGACGGCCAAAGATATGGTCGTCGTTGATGGTCAATAACGGCCATATATTAGCCGTCATTGACAGCCAGATGTGGTCAAAGATTTGGCCGTCAACGATTAGATCTTTGGTCATGGATCTGGTTTTTTTCGACTAGATACTGGCCAGATCCAGCCAGCATTGCGCCATTACGCCTGATTCTGACCACCTTCCGGTGGTGGTTGCCGAAATTTGACAAATGTGGGTGGGTGGGGGTGTTTTTGTCAATTTATAAAACTTTTTTGTTGGGGGTATTTAGTTAAATTAACAAACCTATGGAGGTTTAAATAGTTGAATATTATAGGATATGATTTTAAGAATAGGGAAACATCATCCATTTTTTTAGGATAGGAATAGAGTATTTTAAAAAAAAGGAAACAAGCACAGCCTACTATTGGTTTTTCAAAAAATTAAAATGATGAACGCTTTAATTTATTTTTTCATGTGTTTTCCTTAAGAGACAATATAAATGAATCATATGTCGTATGTCAGATGACCGTGACTATGATACTGAACCAATGAGCAAAATAACGATAATGTGAGTAAATAAATAGACTAAAATGGTTCGGATGCAAACGTAAATCCTATGTCCATTATTATCTTATTGTTTTTCTAGTGTGTTTTTGACGTGGTTATAAAAGCTATTTGCTCTTAAGAGAGACAATTACTTTTAGCTATTGAGAAAATGAAAATCTGGATCCCTTTTTTGGGGTGAGAGACCCCTATTTATATTGTTGCATAGGTGGTCTTACTCATAAAATAACCTTCTCATCATATGACACGTGGCTTGACAAATCGCCTTTATTGAAGACTTACTAACAAGGTTTTAAAATTCGGCCTAGACCGGTCGGTTGAACTGGGTAATGGTGATCGAGCCGCGTCGATTTGACTAAAAAATCGGAAATGTTAAATGACCCAGTTTGAATCGCGGTTAGACCGACTTTTTTGTTATCAACCGTCGGTCCAACTGGTTTGACCTGGCTGTTGAACCGTATTTTTATTATTTTTATTATTTTTTTATATGTCATGCTGACGTTAGAATGACATCATCACGTTGACATCAACATGATGTCATCATAGTTTGACCCGACAATTGAATTGGTTCGATCGACCAACCTAGTGACCTGACTGAGTCACTCTCCGAGTCGGGTTTTAAAACATTGCTTACTAGTAAAGTAGTCCTCTCATGAGGTGTTATGCGACCTGAATGATAGCTCAACCCAAAACCTTACTGTTGAAGCAACCTATGACAACCTTGCAAATGAAATAACCCCTTTTTGGTATGACACGCGGCCTTGACAAATATATGATCACAAAATACGTGGCAAGAGCTCATGCCCCATTTGCATAGTCATAGGACACATGGCGCCTATGAATTTACCGTATAACACCGTGAAATAATAGAAAACGTACATAGGTTTCTAAAAATTTCACGAGGGCTGGAGCCTCCCTGAGCAAGTATACAAGAAAGTTTATATTAACTTTGAAAGCAAACTCTTGTTTTTTTTGAAAAACAGTCTTAGGAGAAGACGGAAACCGTAAATACCACGTAATTAACCCAAACACTTGGTATTTAATCAATGCTGAACAAAAGAAATCATAATACGAAGAGAAGTAATAAAATAAAACACTACTACGATATATATACAAACCGTTGAAAAACCCCTTTACCAAATTCAATGCAATACTAATTCTACTTCTAATCCTAATCCGAAACAAATTAGGATTATAAATTCACCTTTATAAAACCTTGGAAACCGCTGTTTTGTTCCGTAATTCATTAATGAAAAAAAAGGGTGTGTTTCTTTTGACAATGGACGCGATTTTGAGTGGTTATGACACTTTGAGATCCAAAATAGTCTGTAAATCGCTTTCTTCTTCAAAGAAGACATGTTCACACTCTATGGTTCTCAGAGGCTTGTGCGTTTACTGTGGGAAAAATATGAATGATGGGTTCGGTGTGGGATTTGATTTCTTGCTCGATGGTTTAAGGTTTAGCAACCATGATCTTGCTTGCTGGAAAGAAATAAACTCTAAGAATTTGTTTAGCCAAAGAAAGCTTCAGTTAGTTCTTGATTTAGACCATACGTTGCTTCATTCAAAAGACATCCATAAATTAACTCGTGCGGAGGAATATTTGAAGAGGCGGGCAGATTCTTCTGAAAATATGTCAGACGGTGACCTATTTAATCTGGACAATGATTTCATAGTCAAATTGAGACCATGTATTAGAACTTTTTTAAAAGAAGTCAGCAGTATGTTCGAACTTTACATATATACTATGGGTTCTCGATGTTACGCAGAGGAGGTGGCTATGTTGCTTGATCCTAAGTGCCAATACTTTGTTAAATCTAGAATAATTTCACGCGATGATTCTAAACAAACACAAAAAAAGAGCCTGGATTTGGTGTTGGGACAGGAGCGAGGCATTGTTATTCTTGATGATACTGAAAGCGTGTGGAATGAGCATAAAGAAAACTTAATAGTAATGGGAAAATATAACTATTTTAGAGATGGAGAGATTAATAAGAGATCTTTCTCAGAGAAGAAGACCGATGAGAGTGAAACTAACGGTGTACTTGCAAACGTTCTTGGAGTTCTGAGACAAGTCCATGGATTTTTCTTTGAAGATCCAACAAATCTTGGTGGCCAAGATGCTAGAACGTTGTTAAGAAAAAATCGTGGAAGGATTCTGATGGGGTGTACTTTATTCTTTAAGGATGTTGGAGATGAACTAACTATACTTCGGAGCAGGGCAGAGGAGATGGGAGCAACATGCAAAACCATACTTGACTCTTCGGTTTCACATTTGGTGTCATCAAAAAATACGATTGAGGGTTATAAATGGGCAGAAGTAGAGACCAGATATTTGGTCCATCCTCGGTGGATTTATGCTGCTTATTATCTATGGTACAAACAACCTGAATATCTGTATTTTCCAGTTTAGAATGTGTTGCTGTGGAACGGTTTTCCTTTGATTGTAATTGAGATATTTAGTTCTTAGATGTTCGTCTTTTGGCTTCAAAAGTGATTCAAATTCATTTCCTTTCTTTTTTTTTTTTTTTTTAATTCCAAAAATTATAATACCAATACAAGATTGTTTGATAGTTTCTGAATGTGAATCTGAATTTTCAAGCAACTGCTTCAACGACTCTTCAATTCGTTTGATTTCTTGCCCTCTAGATCCCTCTACCATTTGGACTGGAGCAGGATCACCGCTCTTATACCAAATGATGATATAAAAAGGGAAATTCAGAGATCTTTATTTCTGAGAACAAGAATATTACAGTAGCTAGATAGATGACCATTGTTACCAATCGAACTTTCTTAAACTCTCTTAAATACAAGAACAGAGCCTAAATGCACTCCTTAATTCCAGCCATTCAAATCCTAAATGTATTCCCTAACATCAATTTGGTTTCCAATCATCTCTTGCAGCAGGAAGGTGTGTAACAGAGGTATGTATGTAACGGATTTTTAAAAATTCAAGTAACAGAGGTATATATGTAATGGATTTTTTTTTTTTTTAAAAAATTCAAGGATGAGTTTGATTAAAACAGGGGAAGTCAACATCCCAATTCCCGATGATAATATATAAAATTGGGCAACCTGACATGAAATTGCATCATTACCCAAATACAGGGCCGAAACAGAAGCTTGTAGTAATGAACATGAAAAGATAAACTGAACCATATGGGGTTAAACCTTTTTTCTGGGGTAATCGAGTGGTGAACTGGATCTAACTCATTCTAGTAAAGAAGCCACCATCCACCATTAAGTCGTGGCCAGTCACGAACTCAGAATCCTCAGATGCAAGAAACAGCACCGCATCTCCTATATGTTTCCCTTTTAGCACTATCCCTTTCAGGCTTGTATATGCTTCATAAATCTTCTTTACTTCTTCAACTTCTCTACCAAGTGAACTGCACACACCCGGTGTCGCCACCGCATACGGTGAAACGCTGTTCACCCTAATCCCATGTACTCCAAGCCGCGCGCTTGCTGATCTAACCAACCCTAAAACAGCATGTTTTGACATACAATACCCAATGCTTCTTGTGTAACCACGACTGGCCACTACACTCGCCGTGCACACAATGCTTCCCCTCACACCCATTAAATTGCCATGTTTTGCAAACTCCAACTAATAATATGCGTTATATTCTCATTCAAACAAAAACGGTACCAAAAATAAAAATATAGATCTCTTTCACCCATTAAATTTCCATGTTTATTGACGTTAATTCTTATTTCAACTCGTTACAACATCAATTTAAGCTCTGTTCTTGTTTATATTTTGAATTTTAAAATACTTGTTTTTAAGAATATAATGTCACTATTTATTTATTATAATATTGTTTTTAGAAAAACATATTTGTTGTGTGCGATTTTCTCATTAAGCCCAGAGAAGTTAGAAGCCTGCGAGAAACTAGTTCAACCCATAATCAGTTTGACTCAGCATCGGTACGACAAGCTAGTTGCGATTAACCTTGACAGTTGTTTGACAAATCAAGGATAACCTCAAATGTCAGATATTTCAGAAGAGATAAGATCAACACTGAGGATAGAGTGATCTCAGCATTCAATCACACAAATATCGTAGTTGCAATTTGAATTTGATTGCAATCTCGATAATTTTTGTCTTTCCTTTATCTCAAACTTGTATGTAAACCCCCTCCAATGATGAGGGGTAGGTTAGTAAATTATCCTAGGCAAACTTATTATTGTTCTTGTAATCCATCAAAAGCTTTACGATAACAGTGGATGTTGGTTCAACTTCTAACTTGTCGAACCATTTTAAAAATTCTTTGTGTCATTTACATTATTACTACATTGTTACTTTCGATTGTTGGTTTATTATTAAATCACACACACATCAGTTTTGATTTCGTTAAAGTCAGTTGGATCACTCATGTTGGTACGAAACTCGTATCAATAATATTAAATACGGTTTCATTTATTACATTTTCAAACACTGGTTTTAGACAAATATAATAAATATGTTTTTATTTTTCATATTTTCAATAAAAAATAAAAAACACAGAATTTATAAAATAAAATATCCTAAGCCACTGTCAGAAGATTTAATGTTAGAAAATAATGGGACTTCCTGGAAATTACTATCTCTGTCAACACATTAAATTTAATTGGTGTTAGGTTCAAACATTATTGATAGTGGGAAACAATATTAGGTCTGTTATTAAATATAAATGGACCCACATGATACTTGAGCAACCGACTACACTGAGATTAGAACTTAGAAACGATACAGAAATTGAATATTCATTAAAAGAAATTCGCAATTTAACAAAGACACTGTTTTAAAATGCAGCAAACTTAAATGGTTTACACGATATAATTTATATAGCCTTGTTCTGTCATATATAGATGTAGAACTTCATAATTTCTTAATCAATTCCATAGTACGTACTACGTACTAAACATTTTCATCTTCTAAAGAACTAATTAAGCCTTATTTTAGAGACTAATCAAATGAATTAAGAAACAAGATCAATTTAATTTAGATAGAAAGCCACCATCTACCACCAAGTCATGCCCACTCACAAATTCTGAATCATCAGATGCAAGAAACGACACAGCATCTGCAATATGCTTCGTCTTAATCACAATCCCTTTCAAGCATGGATTTGGCTCATACATCCTCTCGACTTCCACAGCTTCAATATTAAGCCACCTGCACAAACCCGGCGTCGCCACGCCACACGGTGAGACGCAGTTCATTCTAATTCCATGCGCTCCTAGCTGCGTGCTTTCCGATCTAACCAATCCTATCACAGCATGCTTTGACATGTAATAGTCTGTCATCCAATAACCGCCGCGGCTCCCTGTCACACTCGCCGTGCACACAATGCTCCCCTTCATTCTCCTCTCAACCATTGCGGGCGCCGCATGTTTAACGCATGCAGCCATGCCACGGGCGTTGATGGCAAAGAGGTGGTCGAAAGCTGATAAGTCGAGATCGAGAACTGTCTGAGGAGGCTTACTGTTTAGAATCCCGGCATTACCGAACATGATGTCTAGTTGGCCATAGTTTTGGAGGGTTGAGTCAACTAATGCTTCGACTTGATTCTCGTTTGTGACATCGCAGTACATGTAAATGCAATTGTCGGTGCCAATTGAAGTGGCTAGTTGTTGGCCAAGATCATGTATATCAGCTATCACGATCATACGAGCACCGTGTTTGGCAAAAAGACGTGCTGTAGCCTCCCCAATTCCGCTGGCACCACCGGTAATTATGGCAACTTTGCCTTTCAATTTCTTTGGGGACAGCATGGACTCTGACATTATTGTTTTGAGTGTTTAGTTTTTGTTACTCTACTATATATGCAAATGTAGAAAGGAAATGGAAATGAGCAGAAGACTTTACTACACCAGGTTTGGTCTCTATCCGTTGCTATCTGCCGCTTTGATATTTTAAATATATGCAATGTATTGGACTCTCTCAGTTTACAAATACAGTGTCTATTTATTTTTTCTCTATGAAAACTTTTAATCTTTGATTTAAGATTCAAGGGCGAATAGATGACTTGATGTGTTTATGACTATATGTTACCAGAGCTATCTTGTAGTATTGTCCACATATTATATTGTGAAAAACAATTGTAAATATTGACCCAAATAATAGTTATGTTTTTATTTACATGTACAGTTTGCAAAAGTTGGGACGGCAAAGATACATGATTAATGATGAGTAATAATGTTCAATCTAACCGCTTGATGGTTTGATGGTAAAAGAGTAAAAGAAAGTTCTATGAGATATTGAGTTTGAATCTCTTTAGGCATTAATAGGGGTGACCATTATGACTCTTCTTTGATCAATAGTTTTTAAGCCTCAGGGAATTAGTTGAAGTGTGCGTAAGCTAACCCGACACATCCATGATAAAAAAATAATAATAACAATAATGTTCAATTCTATTAGGTCTTTTAATTGAATAATTTTATTTAGATTCACTTAAACTCTTATTAATCTTTTTGTTTTTAAATAATTTATTATCTTTTAATTACAGCATAGTTTTAATTTTCAATTTTAAGATTATTTACTCTTTTATATATATATTATCAAATCAAAGACTCAAGAGTCTACCATATTAACTGTCACAATAATACTTGAGGGTGTCAGGTACACCTGGCGAATGGGTGGGTTGGGTAACTGCAGGTAACGGGTAAAACAGTTTGCAGGCAAAAAATTTTCGAGGTCGGGGGAATGCATGACCCGTACCCGTATATACGGTACGGTTTGACCAGCGAGTCACCCGCATAAAATGGACTTTTGAGCATTTTTTTTTTCCAGTTTCTTGTTGTTTCCCATCGGAGGCTAAGCTTAGCCCACCGCCTCTCTTTGTTAAAGCCTGAAAATTTTGCCGCCTGCAAAAACAACCCACAAAGTAAAAACTAGTAAGAGAGAGAAAGTTCAACAATCCCAACAACCTTTCTCTTCCTTTGCTCACAGTCACAGATCTTGTTTCTTTAGAATCCCAATAACCTTTCTCTTCCTTCTTCTTCATACAAACCCACCTTCTCTTTCTCTTGGGTTGCTAGTAGATCTTGTTTATTTAGAATCCCAACAACCTTTCTCTTCCTTCTTCTTCACACAAACCCAATTTCTCTTCCTTCTTCTTTAGACAAACATCACAAACCCCTTCTTCTTTAGTTGAACAAAACACAAATCAAATAAGTACCAAAGGATGAGGCTGGGAGGGAGATGAAATCCGGCTGTTGTTAATAATTTGAATATGACGAAACTGTACAGGGAACTGCAAAGAAGATAGCGATGAGAGTTTGGAGAGGTTTCTAGAAGAAGCTTGCTTAAGGAAGGAATTGCTGAAGCTGAAATTGAAATCGCCATTCCAAACTTTGAATTGAATCTCAAGAAAAGAGAATAAAAATACTTGTTTGTTTGTTTGTTTGGTAGAGAGAGTGATGCAGAGGATAAAATTTAGCTGCGTGGCCATCCAAAGTTTCCATTTAACAAAATGGCCTTGAAAATGTTTTTCATTTTTTTTTTTAATTTAGAGAAGCTGACGTGGCATAATTAGGATTCATTAAACACGTAAAATGGGTTAAAATGAAAAGATTAAAACATATGTGGGCCGAATCATAAATAATGAAAGCTTTTAAAATTTGAAATTTATCAAAACAAGACCCACCTATTCACCTCGCTTAATCGAAATTCATTAGGGCAAAAAGCGATTTCTTGAACCAAAGGGAGACATTGCGATTTTTTTCGATCGAACCTGCAAATTTGCACACCATATTCAATGATAAAATCAATTTCTTGAACCCTAAACGAAATACAATTGCGATTTTCGGCGATATAGTCCTGATTTTCGATTGATTTCTTGAACCCTAAAATTGATTTCTTAAACCCTAAACGGAATCTGTGTGATTTTCAGTGATACAGTCCACATTTTCAATCGAAACTGCAAACTTTGACACCAAATTCAATCCAAAACCATGGCTGACACTCACAATGAGGAGGAAAACCCAATGCCACTTCGAATCCTAGATTTTGGTGGCGCAAGCAGTTCAATGGCTACTCCGGTGGATCATCCGATCAGTGAAGGTGGTCCACAGGCAGAGGAGACGACGACGGCACAACAACAGAGAGAAGAATCGACAAACAGTTATGAAGACGAGGAGTTAGGCGAGAATTCAGGCCAAGAGGAGTCGTCCGAGGATTCAGGCGACAAGGAAGAGGCTGGCGAGAATGCAGGCGACAAGGAAGAGGCCGACGAGAATGCAGGCAACGAGGAGGTCAGCGAAGAAAGGGTACGTATTTGTTTTGGGAATATTGCTTGTACTGTCGCTTAAGCGATCATTTGTATCGCTTAAGCGATTAATCTCTTTTACTCATGATCTCTTAAGCGATACAAAGGATCGTTTAAGCGATCCTTTGTATCGCTTAAGCAATTGATTCAGTTTACTCTTAGTCGCTTAAGCGATTTCAGATCGCTTAAACGATCTTGTCGAGGCAAAATCATAGATATAGGATTGCTTAAACGATCTTTTGTATTGCTTAAAAGATTCTTTCAGTTTACTCTTAGTCATTTAAGCGATTTCAGATCGCTTAAGTGATGTTGCACGAGGCAGAGTCAAGATCTCTTAAGCAATCCGAAATCGCTTAAGCAACTATAGTGGTAATTTTTTGCTACTGATATTTTGTTTATTAGTTGTTTTGGTTTATTTTTGTTGCTGACATTTTGTTTATATCGATTGTGCAGATTGTGTGGACCGTAAACTGTAAAGACTACGAGTTGGAGCTTATAACTGATAAGGTACCCTACTTCCCTGCAAGGGTGACGGTGAGGTCGAGTTGGGATGTTTTTGACAGAATAAGGGACATTTTAGTTGGAATGAGGCATGGTGCAAGAGATTTCCATCGCACTTGTTTCGGTCAGTTTTCAAGAATCGAAACAAATTGGAAAAAGGCATTTTGGGGGCAGGGAGTGCATTACATGTTGCTACACTCAGTAAAATGCAACAAAAAAAAAAAAAAAAGAAAAAAAAAGAAATATGGTTCGTGGTGGACGGAAAGCCACTACGCTTTGGGATGATGGAGTATGCCTTGGTGACGGGCTTAGGATGTGGGGAAGTGCCAGATAAGGCAGAGGCAGAGGCAATAAAGACGAGTCTAAGAGCCAAAAGGTTTCGTAAGAAGGTTTTGCAGGGGGCAAAGTCTATTACAAGACAGGTTTTAGAGAAGAGGCTACAAACAGTTCGGTTTAATGATGGAGAGAAGATAAAAGTGTGCTTGGTATTGTTTTACATTCAATCTTATTGGCTGGTGACTCAACAAAAGCTGTTGAGAATGATTGGTTGTTGTTTGCAAGCGACTTGGAGTTCTTTAATTCTTATCCGTGGGGACGGATATCATTTGAGTGAACCATCAACAGCCTGAAAAACCCAGACATGGCATTAGAGCAGGCCCAATGGGCTAGGAAGGATAAACCAAGCACGTAAAATTTGTTTGGCTTCCTATGGGCAATGCATGTAAATATTAATAGCTTTTTGTTATATTTTTTTTATAATATATGTGTTTGAATTATGATATGGACTATTTTTTTACAATGTAGGCTTGGATGTATGAGGCCATCCTTGTCTTCTCTAAAAAGGGGGGGGGGGGGGGGGGGGGGGGGGGGGGGGGGGGGGGGGGGGGGGGGGGGGGGGGGGGGGAGGAGAAGCAACAGTTTGGATGTGCAATTTCTAAGATATTGCAGTGGCATGTCGAGAGGTGTATCCATTGGGACTACGACCAAATAGACATTAAGATTGAAGCGGCTAGGGTAAGATTAAAGGATTAAACTTTGAATATGCAGTTACTTTAAACTGTCGCTTCAATCTGATTGATTTTGTTTCTTATTACAGGGAGTCGTCCGTTCTTTTCTCACCGCTACTGGGGATGAAGCGGAAGAGGACTATGTCACATCTTTCAAAGCACTGGAGGATGAAAGGGGTGAACAGATAGACCGCCTGATGCCAGACATAAAAGGGGTCATGAATGTGACGGCAGTTGCAGGGCCACTACTTGACAACGTGGTTGATGCCAAGGATGATGAAGCTCTAATCAGCGGGAGGCCTGAGGATGAGGAGGAGAAGAGGGAGGAAGAGGATCGTATGCCTCAGCAAACTGGTACAACAAGTATCGCTTTGCCGAGACATCGATGTCGGGAGAATGAGGTGGTTGACCTCATAAACAGCCTGTTTGAGAGTTTTACAACAGCCGTTTATGACAGGTTTGACAAGATAAAAGAACGCATGAAAAGGGTGGAGGAGAAAGTGGATAAGCTGGGAGAGAAAGTAGGTACAATGGAAGAAGAAGTTGGTACAGTGGAGGAGGAAGTTGGTGGAGAATTAAAGGCGGTTGAAGTGCAAACTGGGCTGAAAAGAGAGAGCTGAAAGAGCAAGTTTGTGAAATCGCCTTACATGGTAGCGACACAGGTAAAGAAGAAGAAAATTAAGAAACAAATGGAGGAAGAACCAGAAATAGAGGAGGTTAAGGAGGTTAGTGGAGGAAGTGGGGCGGTGATAATGGAGGAGGGCGAGGTGGGAGGTGAAGGAAGCCGGGATGTAAAAATGGAGGAAAGGGGAGGAAATGGGCAAGCGAAAATGGACTCAAATGTCGATTTGTATAGACCAATAGAGGAAAAGGAAAAAACTCTTCTATGCCTATTACAATGGATTATGAAGTAATGCCCATATAAAATATAAGATAGGGGATTATCCCCGGGAATGATTTGAAAAGTTGTTGACGATGGGCACGTGGTTTGAGGACTCAGTGAGTTATTTTCACTTAATTTTCCTTATTTTTGCCTATGTTTTCCATACTTATCTTGTTGTTTTTATTTGATGCAGCACACTAATGAGATATTGGCACTGATGAGGCTATGATAGACTACTGATGGTGATCTACTGTATCCCGATTGTGCCATCACCGATGTGGCGTTTGGCCAAATGCTTGTTTCAGCATATTGCACTTTAATTAAAAATGTCGTTGCCAGTGGTGCAGCAAAAGAACTAAAGCGAAAAAGATTGGCCCCATAACAGTTGGACTGCATCCCTGATGATTTTCATTTTGATGATAAGATTATGCAGTATATACGGGGGCATCGGCCCAAATATGGCCACGGTTGAGCCTTTGTTAAAAGAGTGTACTGCATCATCCTCATCAAATAGATGCACTGGATATCAGTCATTGCGCATCTAGAAGAGGGTGCTGAAGATACTTGATTGCAACCCAACTATTTGTCGAGACAAGCAGTTGGAGGTCGAGTTGGAGCCACTGTCCAGGTTGTTCCTGCAGTTGTTGCGTGACAGCGGGATGTTTGGGCACTTGGGTGATCAAGTACTAACCAAAAAGTGGCCAATTAAGTGCTCTATCGACCCAATAAATGAGTCAAGGTATATTTTGTATAAAACTAACTTACATAATACAATTGTTCTATAAGTTTATTCTAATGTTAATGTCTTCTTCCTATTGTAGTGCTGAATGTAGGACATATGCCCTGAAATTTATCGAGTTTGACATGACCAACACCCCGATGTTTGGCTTGAATGACGAAATATGAAAGTTGGACTTTGAATTTTTTAGTTTATGTGATGTTGATGTTGATACTTGGGTTGTGGTGATGATGCTGCAGGTGTCATGCTTATATGGAGCTTTACTGAAAGAGACGGACTGAGTGAACTTCTCACCTACCCACTCTATAACTGTTTTACGTGTTTTTTTTTTATTTACAAAAGTTGATGTGTCTGTAGGTGTGTGCCGGATAATTTTGCAGGTTCCTGGCAAATAATGAGAAGAAACTTCTCAAAGGCTGGTTGGCAAGAGGAGGCATCTGCAATAAAGGCTGCTGGGAAGGCATGGTACTAAACAATGATCTCAGAGAGGTTGCTGGCAAACAGAATTCGAAAACTTCTCAAAGGCTGGTTAACAAGAGGAGGCATCTACAATAAAGGGATTGTGCAAAGGTGTTAGTGACATTAAACTCTTTGGCATCAAAAAGTAAATTAAAGGCAGTGTATAGGAAATTCTCAAGTCCAGATCATTGTGTTGTGACTCTTCTTGCGGCAGCCAAAAGCCTTGTGCCTACAGAATCATTGTAAAGAATTGGATCTGACATTTGGGAGATATTTTTGTTTGTCCACATAAGATATCTCATTAGCAGTTTGAATTTACTATGTATGGTGTGATCATTTGCTTCACCCAAGTTGGATAATGGTTTTTTAGCGTTTTGTTTCATTTTGTGTATCACTACAACATGTGATGTACTGGTGTGATTATTTGATTCACCATAGTTGGGGCTAATGGTTAGCTTGTCCAAATATTTCGATATTTGCCGCATCCCATGCCTATTTTTTATTTTGTGTTTCGATAAACAGGTTACATTGATGTCTCTTATATTTTGATTTGTGATGAATTAGATTAATATAAATTACTTAATTTTGCGATACAAGTTCTTTTCGGATTTGGGAGGGAAATGAGTAATGTACAAATGTTTCCCAATCACAGTCATTTCGAAATTAATTAACTTAAAGAATGGCATGGTACAAACAATTACGTATATGATCGACCACATATATCTCTTAGACGACTAAGACTTTTTCAGAAATGATCACTTAAGCGATCTCAAATCGCTTAAGCGACCAAGAGTCTATTACGAAGCATCGCTTAAGCGATACATAAGATCGCTTAAGTGATTACCCATCTGGGTAGATATTCATTCTGCCTCGGAAAATATCGCTTAAGCGATCCCGAATCGCTTAAGTGACAAAGACTCTTTTAGGAAGAATCACTTCAGCGATACATAAGCGATCTTATATCTAGGCAGATATTCATTCTGCCTCGGACAAGATCGCTTAAGCGATCTACCAAGAGTCTTTTACAAAAATCGCTTAAGCGATACAAATGGATCGCTTAAGCGATCATAGATCTGGGCAAATTCATTCTGCCTTGGCCAAGATCGCTTAAGCGATCTCAAATCGCTTAAGTGATCAAGAGTCTTTTACGAAAATCTCTTAAGCGATACAAATGGATAGCTTAAGCGATTTTCGATCTGGGCATTTGCCGCAGACTAGATCGCTTAAACGATTACCGATCGCTTAAATGATTACCGATCGCTTAAGCGACCAGGAGTAAAAGCAAAGAATCGCTTAAACAATATAGACGGATCTTTTAACCGATTGTGTAAATACAAAGGATCGCTTAAGTGATCCTATGTATTCTGATATTACTTATTGTATTTTAGAGCATCGGTTAAGCGATTAACGCTATGTTAAACATATAGGGTTTCCGATTCGTTCAGTGGACTATGACCGCTATTATATTTATATTAAACATATAGTTCTTTTACGTCAGTATGAAACATATAAGGTGTAGAATGTTTACGTTTATGCTAAACATATGAGGTCTACGATTCGTTCAGTGGACTATGACCGTTATTATATTTATATTAAACATATAGTTCTTTTACGTCAGTATGAAATATATAAGGTGTAGAATGTTTACGTCTATGCTAAACATATGGGGTTTACGATTCGTTCAGTGGACTATGACCGTTATTATATTTATATTAAACATATAGTTTTTTTCCGTCAGTATGAAACATATAAGATGTAGAATGTTTACGTCTATGCTAAACATATGGGGTTTACGATTCGTTCAGTGGACTATGACTGTTATTATATTTATATTAAACATATAGTTCTTTTACGTTAGTATGAAACATATAAGGTGTAGAATGTTTATGTCTATGCTAAACATATGGGGTTTACGATT